AATTAGTCAAAAATACTTCCACACTCCAGAGAGTAGTCTTCTTTCTCTAGATGTTAGCACATCTGGGTTATGATATCAGAAGTTTCTGCACTTATTTTGCTACTATTTAAAGGACAGTTAGCTGGGGTGACACCTAAGGGAGAGAAGAATCCTAGAGTTTTTGTAATACTGCTATGCAACCCTGCCCTGCCCCTCAACTTCCTTGTTCTATGACACAATAAATATCCTTATTGTTTGTGAATGGTTCATAATGTGAATAGGCTTTTAGTAACTATTTACAACCAAAGCATTCTAACTGATCCATTGCATGTTAGTACCTTTGTAGCACTGATTGTTGTGGATTGAATCTGAAATGCCCCCCACCCAAGGCTCAGGTATTGAAGCCTTGATCCCCAGCTGGTGGTGCTGTTAAGTTTCAGATCATGAAGGTGCTAATGAAGCAAACACCAAGTGGAGGAATCTAGGAGGTGGGGCCTAGTTGGTGGACGTAGGGGCAGACAGGGGGAGTTATGTCCTGGAAGTTATGTCCTACTCCCTGTCCACTATGAAGTGAGCAGCTTTCTTCCACGGTAACTGTCTGTCATGATGCTTCTGTCCAACTAAGGTTTACATGTAGTAGAATCAGCTGATTATGTACTGCAGCCTTTTAGACTGAGCCAAAATAAACATTTCCTCCTTTTAAGTTGTATTTGCAGGGATTTTTATAACAATGATTTTTTTTTTTTTTTTTTTTTTTTTTGAGGCAAGGTCTCCCTGTGGCTCCAGCTGGCCTGGAACTCACTACGTAGACCAAACCAGGCTGGCCTTGAACTCACAGAGATCTGCCTGCCTCTGCCTCCCGAGTGCTGGGATTAAAGGCGTGCGCCACCATGCCCGGCTAACAATGATTTTTTTAAAAGTGTCCAGTGAACTGATTTTCTCCAGATGCTGGTAATATATTTCTTTCAACTCAACCAGTATAGTTAGAGGACCCTCTGAAGACTAACATAGTGCCAAACTTATAAACCACTCGGCTAGGTGCCCAGTCCTCAATATCTTGTCGGGATTAGTTTAAGTCAAGCTGTTGTTCTCTCCTCTTCACCAGATCAGATTCAGGCCAGGTTCGAGAACATAATTCTTTCCTTAAGCATATAAAAATCCCCAGGTGCAGCGAAGGTGCAGCTCAGTGATTGAGCACTTGCCTCGCTTGCGTGAGGCCCCGAGGCTTACTGTATCTAATTCTGCCAAAGTCCTGAACTCTCTTGAGTAGACTGCTTGAATAGATTTCTGATCCCGTATGGCTCTTGCTCTTGCCTACATTACTGTTTCAGATTTACCCGCCTATCAAAATTCAGGATCCATTTCTTCTCTGACTTTAAGTATCTTCATGTTCATTTAAAGCATGGTTGAATGAATTTACAAGGAGGAATTGAATAGCCCAAAGATCCCTGGAAAATTTTAGCAGAAATGACCACAGTGATTCCCAATTTCTGTGCCTGTTTTCTTTCTTGAGGCAAGGAGAATCTATAGGCTGTTACCTTCGTATGCTCTCGTGAACTTTAAAACTTCAGATGTATATCGAATTTAGTTTTAACTACCAAAGAGTTCAAAGAAGGAGAGGAAACTAATCAGAAAGTTTGATTTTAAGAGCAACTCTTATTTAATTAAAATATCACTGGCAATCATTCAACATATAAAAGTAATAACTTCTTTAATATAGCCACTTGTCATTTATGGAACCAGCCCATTAACCCGAGTAATCAGCTCTGGTTTCCTTTCAGTTCCACTTAGGTTTAGGGGTGAGGCAGAATTGCCTCTGGCTTGTGTTTTATATAACAACCCCTAATAATCTGCTTTATGGGCACTTACAGTCATGAGTGGAAGTCAAAATATACTACAGAACCTTATTCTTAATATATGAAATTTAATTTCCTACCCATTAAATACTTTTCCTTTTAGTTAATTATCAATTGTTTTTCTTATTTTTCTTGTAATATGATTATGCATTACTTTCATACTTGCTATAAAGTTCTTTGCAACTATTCAGTATGTCTTAGGAAATATCTTGTGTTTAGATTCCCAAATATTTTAATTTTTTAAAACATTCATTCAATTTTTTAAAAAAATGCATTTTATTTATTTATTTATTTATTTATTTATTTATTTATTGTTGAGACAAGCTCTCACTCTGTAGCCCAGTGTGCTGGTGTGACTGAGAAATGTCCCACATAGGCTCACATAGTTGGACACGTGGTCCCCAGCTGGTGGTGCTATTTGGGGAGGTCATGGAATCTTTAGGAGGTGGAGACCTGCTGGAAGAAGTGTGTCACAGGGGGCTGCTTTGAGGGTGCCTAGCCTTGCTCCACTTCCGGTTTCTTCTCTCTGCTTCCCATTTGCCTTCGGAGATGTGAGTGCTCCCAGGCCTGCTGCCTCTTCACAATGGGCTTTTATCCCTCTGGAACCATAAGTCAAAATAAACTTTCTTCCATAAATTGCCTTAGTCATGGCATTTTATCACAGCAACAGAAAATTAACTAATATACCCAGGATGGCCTAGAACTTATATAGCCCAGGCTGGTCTCTAACTCCTGGCAAAACTTGTGCCTCAGCTTCTCTAGTACAGGGATTATAGGCATGAACCACTATGCCTGGCTCCTGAGGACCTTTTACATTTTTATTTTATTTATTTTATTTTTATTTTTTGAGACAGGGTCTCCCTGTAGCCCCAGCTGGCCTGGAACTCACTATGTAGACCAGGCTGGCCTTGAACTCACAGATCTGCCTGCCTCTGCCTCCCAAGTGCTGGATTAAAGGCGTGCACCACCATGTCTAGCTCCGAGGACAATTTAAAAAATTAATTTATGGGCTGGAAAGATGGTTCAGCAGTTAAGAGTATTGACTGCTATTGCAGAGGACCCAGGTTCGATTCCCAGCACCCCCATGGTGGCTAACAACGGTCCATAACTCCAGTTCTAGGGAATCCAACGCCCTCTTCTGACCTCCTTGGGTATTGCACAACATGGGTGCACTGACACACATGCAGGCAATACACTCATTCACATAAAATAAAAATAACAAATAAAATATTTTTAAAACCATATATTATATAATTCCTTGTCTATGAACTATAACAGGCAAACATGTAGAGCTTAAAATTGTATTAGTGTTAGCCAGGAATCAGGAGGGGAGTGAGGAACGATGAGTGACCTAGTGAGTACAGAATTTATTTTTGAACTATTGAAAATGTTCTAAAATTAGATAATGATGATGGTTATATGGATAACTACTAAATGGTTCATTCTGATTATACTAAAACTCAATAAACTGCATAATACATTTTAGATTTTTTTGCAATGCTAGAGATTGAGCCCAGGGTCTCTTATATGCCAGGCAAACATGAGTTATACCCTCAATTCTGAGCTGTATATTATAAGGATGAATTGTGTAGTATATGATTATACCTCAATTAAGAAACGAATTATAGGGGCTGGAAAGATGGTCCGGTGGTTAAGAGTGCTTGCTGCTCTTTCAAGTTACTAAGATTACAAGTATGCATGCACCACCACACCCAACTATTGTTAATTTCCCCATAGAGTTCTTACCTGGATTCTGAAGATATTTCTAGAACTAGTTTTGTTGCTAGAATGAATCTGTAATAGAGATATAATCATTAATTTCTTTTTTAAAAAGATCTATTTATTTATTTTATTTGTATGTGTGTGTGCCTGAGTGTGTGTACGTACACCACATGCACACAGGTGCCCTCTGAGGTGAGAAAAGGCTGGATCCCCTGGAACTGGAGTTACAGGCAATTGTGAGGCAGTTATGAGTCACCTGATATGGAAGTTGGGAACCAAACCTGGGTCCATATGTGCAAGCAAATACTCATACACATAAAATAAATCTTTAAAAAATTAAAGCATAAAACAAAATATAAATAACAGTAGACAGCAATGGTAAATCATGTCTGAAATTGCATTTTACTTTCTCAAATGTTCCCCAGGATTTGTGCTTACATATTTACTCTGAAGTCCTTCTACTCCCTACATTGAAGTAATAACTACCTCTAGAGAAATCTCCAACCTTCCTTGAGGTATAAGCATGCAATTAAAGTACAGCTCATCTGCTGCCACTGGCTGGGGTGGAGTTGAAATGAGCACTCATTTTCATCTGATCTTTCCAATTTATTTCCAAACCATCAGATTTGAAAAAGGAAACAGATGTAAGCTTCTGTCAAGAAGATGCAGTCTCTGCCTCTTTCTCAAAAAGCAACTTAATATTTTTAAAATTATATTTTCAGGGCTGGAGAGATGGCTCAGTGGTTGAAAGAACTGGCTGCTATTGCAGAGGACCAGGTTTGATTCCCAGCACCCACATAGTGGCTAACAACTGTTCCTAACTCCAGTTACAGGGGAATCCAACACCTTCTTCTGAGAATATTCGTGTACTGCATGACACAGGTGCACTCACATACATGCAGACAACACACTCATACACATAAAATAAAAATAAAATATTAAAAAACAGAATAAAATTTTATATGTAGGAGTGTGTTGCCTACATATATGTAAGTGCAGTATGTTTGCACAGTGCCCAGAGAGGGCAGAGGGTATCAGATCCTCTAGAACTGAAGTTATAGAAGATTGTGAACTGCCAAGGTGTTGGGAACTGAACTTTGGTCCTCTGCAAGAGCAGCAAATGTTCTTAACTGCTGAGACAACTCTCCAGTGCCTCAAAGAGAGACTTTTAAAAAGGAAGATTTTAGGAACTTAAGATTCCTATTAAAATTTCTAATTATTAATTTCATCAAAATTCCTTAATAACTATAAATAAGAATCTCATAAGTGATGAATCACAGAGGTATAAATAAATCTCTGAAAAGATGCTAAATCTCACTGAGCATCAAGGAAGGGTACATTAGAATGAGAAAAAGATAATTTTAGGGGTGTTGTTCAGTGACAGTGTACTTGCCTAGCATGCGTGAAGTGGTTCAGTCTCTAGCACTGTAGAAACTGGTCGGGGTGTGCACTTCAACACATTTACTAAAGCTGAAACAATACAGAGAAGATTGGCATAGCCCCTGTGTAAAGATGACATGCAAATTTGTGAGTGCTCCAAATGGTGAAGGGATGGGTGTTTGAATACTATGCACTGAATGAATAACACAATTGCATTTTTGCAAAATTAGCATTTATGTGATCTTATGTAATAGGAATATGTAATATAGGTGCTCATTAAATATTTGGTTTATGTTAGGAGTTAATTCATAGAGTTAAAATGTGCATCTAAAATCTTAGCTGGGTATGGTGGCATAGACCTAAAGTCCCAGCAGCTTGGGAGGCTGAACAGAGGATTTTGAGTTCAAGTCCAGCCTGCCAATGACTTCATCTCAAAATAATAATAGTAATAATAATAATTATTTTGGAAGTTTATGCAAAAATGTAGTTATCAGAGATTACTTCTCAGGATGGTTATACTAGATCTCCATTTCCTAAATTTCGCATTTTGGAAATATTTCTTTAAAGGATAATACATTTCATGATGCATAAAACAATTTGTTCTGCAAAGAAAGACTAATGAAATTTCCCAGATCAGGATTTTCGTGGTCAATTAATGTTGCCCATTCTTCCTTTCTCCACAATTCCCTGTTAGTTTAGATTGAAATGATCATGGAGGAGGGTGAAAACAATAGGAAATTCCTAAAACCAGAAACTGTAAGGGGTTGGTATAATTCAGTAGATAGAGTGCATGCTTAGCATGTATAAGGTCCCGGACAACATTTAAAGGTGCTATTTTGCCAGGTAGGGTGTGTGTGCCTGGATTACATAGCAAGTCCCAAAACAGCCTCAACTGCATAGTAAGACCTTGTCTGAAAAAAGACAGGAGGTGGCCCACTGTTTAAGAATGCCATCTGTTCTTCCGGAGGATCTGATTTCAGTTTCTAGAAGCCATGTCAAACATCTCACAATTGCCTGTATCTCCAACTTTAGGAAATCCAATGCCCTTTTTCTGTAGGAACCTGCCTGCACAGAATTCTCTGTCTCTGTCTCTGTCTCTCTCTTATATACATACAGAGAGAGAGAGGAGAGAGAGAGAGATGAATAAAAAATGAAAAAATTTAAAAAGATGTCATTTTATTCTCTTTTTTCCTTTTTCAGTTTAGTGAAACAGTTTCCCTGTGTTGCTCAGGCTGGGCTCAAACTTGATTCACCCTACTTTAGCCTCTAGACTAGACTATAGGCTTATGTCATCATGCTTGGTCTATGTAGCCCTAGCTGGCCCAGAACTTGACTAGCTTGGCCTTGATCTCACATATCTACCTGCCTCTGCCTCCAGAGTGGTGTGATTAAAGACAGGTGCCACCAAGTCCAGCTTGATTTGTACTTTTTATCATAATTAATATATAAATATATATGTATATTATTGTGTGTGTGTTTGTGTGTGTGTATGTATGTCACAGCATGAGTGTGGAGATCAGATGGTAACCTGTGGGAATTAATTCTGTCCCTCCACCGTGTAGTTCTTAGGGATCAAATTCAGGTGGTCAGGCATGGCAGAAAGTACTTTTACCTGTTCAGTCAGCTCACCAGTCCAGAATTCTATAGTGTTAAAAACCAAACAAAACTCACTTTATAGAAATTGTGCATTTCTGGAACTAGGGAAATGGCTTAGCTGGTAAGAGGACTTGAGTTCAGATCCACAGCACCCACATGAAATAAACCAGGTGCAGCAGTGTGTGGCTGTAATTCCATCGCTGGTGAGGATGAGGTAGGACTCCTCCTCCTCTTCCTCTTCCTCCTCCTCCTCCTTCTCTTCCTCCTCCTCTTCAAAATAAAATGAAGGTCTAGTGAAATACATCATGTTTAGCAGAGTAAAGAGCACATTCTTGTTTTGGGTACACCACAGAGCGGGTGTAAGACATTGGATAATCACTGTAGAAATCCTATGTGTAATTCTCTGTAAAGATAATTAAACATCAGAAGATAGATAAGCAAGAGACAATTCCTACAATTAAAGTACTATAGAGATAGAGCATGGATCTCTGTGCTTGAACACCCACGATACACCAGCAAGAACTTAAGTAGCCTAGCTAGAGCAAAAATCACAAATAACAGTGATAACATTTGAAGTACTTACTTCAGAAGAACAGTTAGCAATGTTTTCTCATTGAGCAGCCTTTTTATCAGGAGTTTTAAAATCACACAAAGTTCTTCCATAGTTACAATCATCTCTCAATGTGAAACACAGTGCTTCTCACCCTTCCCACCCCCAGATACTCACAAGTTCCACACCTCATGTTGAACTAACCTCAGGTTGATAACATTTTTAAAAATTGCAGCTGAGGCCAGGTGTGGTGGCACATGCTTTAATCCCAGCACTCAGCAGGCAGAGGCAGATGGATCTCTGTGATTGCAAGGCCAGCTGGGTCTACACAGCAAGTATATACAGCAAGTTCCAGGCCACTTTGAGCTACAGGAAAACCCTATCTCAAAGATTTAAAAAAAAAAAATTGTATCCATACTGAATATGCGCACTTTTTTCCTTGTCATTATGTGTACACAATTTACATCATACTAGGTACTAGCACTCTAGCTAAAGAAATCTAGAGACTAGAAAAATAATACACTTTGTGAAACGGTGCTCCATTTTAAATAAAGGACCTGATCATCCCTGGACTTTGGTGTCTTCAGGGACTCCTAGAACCAACCTGCCACTGATACTGAGGGATAAGTGTACATTAATAATAAACAAAAACATTATTTAGAAATATATCCCAGTTTGTAACTCCAGGGGCTCATGTTCATAATAGGATGTGGTCTTTCCATCTAAGTTACAGCAGCTGAATTCTTCCAGATGCTCAGGCTTGAAACATTAAAATTTGTACCAATTCTTTTCTTTCATCCTATATTCAAAAACACACTTTCAGGAGGCTGAAGAGATGGCTCAGCAGTTAAGAGTCGAGGACCCAAGTTCAGTTCCCAGCACCCAGTCAGGAGGCTCACAACCACTAACTCCAGTTCCAGGGGATCTGACGCCCTCTCCTGGCCTCTGTGGGCACCTGCACATGTGTGACATATGCACACACACATGAATAAAAAATAGAAATTTTAAAAACTTACAAAGCACTCAGGAGTCAAGAAGCAGGTCGATTTCCATGAATTTGAGGTTAGCCTGGTGTACATAGTGACTTCCAGACCAATCAGGGCTGCACAGTGAGACCCTGTCTCAAAAAACAAAAAAACAAGCTGGGCATGGTGGCACAAGCCTTTAATCCCAACACTGAGGAGGCAGAAGCAGGAGGATCTCTGTGAGATTGAGGCTAGCCTGGTCTATATAGTGAATTCCAGACCAGCTGGGGCTCCAGGGAGACTCTGTCTCAAAAAAAAACAAAAACCCCAAAACCAAAACAACAAAAGCCTTCCGAGTTTGACCACCTCTCGCCACTTCTGTTGCACACACTCGGGTCAGGACCATCTCATACCTTTTTGCCCTTTTGCCTGTATCCTTCCTTTTTTTTGTTCTATGTGTATGAGTGTTTCTTCTGCATGTAGGTAAGTACACTACATGCATACAATGTCTGCGGAGGCCTGAAGGGGCCGTCAGATCCCCTGGGACTGGAGTCATGGAAGGTTGTTAGCCATCAGGCGGACACTGGGAACTGAATTCGGGTGCTCTAGAAGAGCAACCAGTGCTCTTAATTGCTGAGTCATCTCTTCAGCCTGTTTTGTTTTTGAAATAAGAGTCTCATTAGCTGCCTAGACTGGTCTGAACTCATTTGTAGTCCAGGTTGACCTGGAACTTGTGACAATCCTCTTGCCTCAGTCTCCCAAGTGGCTGGGATTACGAGTGTGGCTCTGGCTTGGATCCTTCTGAGCTCTTAACTTTGGCTCTTGTAGTCTTTTCTTTTTTCTAAATTTTTTTATTCATTATTTTTGTTTTATGTGTATGCGTGTATTCCCTGCATATATATATATGTGCACCCATGTCATGCAATGCTAACGGAACTCAGAAGAGGGCATCCAATCCCCTGGAGCTGGAGATACAGCCCGTTGTTAGCCGCCATGTAGGTGCTGGGAATCGAAACCAGGTCCTCTGCCAAGGCGGTCAGTGCTCTTAACCACTGAGTCATCTCTCCAGTCCCCTTGCCCTCTTTTCAGTTCATTCTCAGTCCATTGCCAGAAAAACTCTTTTAAATACTGCTTGCGACGGCTATGTCTGTCCTTTGCTGAAGACCCTCCATTGGCTTCCCTTCTCACTGCTCACTGCCCACCGGCTCACTGCTTCTCCAGTCTCCTCTGCAGCGTTCATTGCTCACTCGGTTACCAAACAGTAGATTTACATCTTGGTGAGTGCAAAGCAAAACCAATCACAGACATCAAAGACCTGAGAAAGACTGATTGCCCTCAGCAGGTCAGGGCAGTGTGTGATTTATTTCCAAACAATGCGCCCTTGAACAAAAGAAGCCCAGAGATTTTATCCAGGGAGCTCGAACATATTCATATAGGGAAGCCCTTTAGGGCTGGCATCATCCCTTCGCAAGAGCAGTAAAGTCATATTCCTGAGCAGGCTCAGTTTAAAGCCATACTTCAAGAAGGAAAAATAGTAGACACATGTTGGTGTGTGCCTATCTCAAGGTCAAGAGCATATGTTCAAAGGGTCAAATGGTGGACAGGAATGCCTGTAGGCATGCGCAGCTTGTTTCATAAAAGTTTTAACTGAAAATAAAGGAAACGTCGAAGGTATATTAGTAAAGGAATTTGTCCCTAATGTTCCTGCCTCGGAGGCCTTTTCTGCATTGAACGAGGTGTTTGTGTGATTCCTGTCCTTAAGTCTATTTATGAATTATGCTTACTGATTTGCATATGTTGAACCAAACTTGCATCCCTGGAATGAAACCCACTTGGTCATATTGTATTTTTAGGGTTAGGTTTTAATATGTTATAGAGTATTTTTCTTTATCTTTTCTTTACTGTTCATTAGGGAAGTCAGGGTATAGTTTTCTTTCTGTGTGGCCTTATCTGGTTTGGGTAACAGTATTGGCTTCAGAGAACGAATTTGGCACTGTTCCTTCTCTTTTTCTTTCATGGCACAGTTTGAGGAACATGATGTTAGCTCTTCAAAGG